ATGCCTAGCGTATCGAAATCGATCCACCATGAGATCCTTGGACGAAGCCAGGAACGCGTGGCACGATGCGATGGAAGCCATCAATTGCGCCAGCGCTTGCACATTCACGACCGATGAATATAACTTGTTGCAGGGCGACGGTAGGTGGCCGAGCCTCAAGTCGACTACACGTGCGTCTGTGTGCAGCCTGTAGCGGTCTGATAAATGTGGAATTCACACTTTCCTTGACGTTTGTGGTCGACAGAGTGTATGTCTGCGGCTGGAGTGTGTGGGATGTTGAATGTTGTTCCCTGCGAGATTATTTTATCTCACTCATGCCAAGTGTCTAGACTGGTTTGTGTATAACATACAAAATCCAAGTGAATCCAAGCAGTCAAAAGGAGCAGATTGGTTGGCTGCATGTACATGGCATCCGACATCAAACCGACACATATGTACACCTGGCACTCAACATCTACCTGACAAATATCTGACAGAAGATTGGACGACCGGGTTGAAAAATAATTTTGATTGGATAAAGGATATTTCAAAGCAACGGATTGGTCGATGGCATTGTCGGTTGGTAACATTTCACGAACATAGAGCAATAACATGACCGGATTGGCCAATTTTCCATTTGAAGTCAACAACAACGACGCGGCGACGATACCGTCGGTGAAGACCATCGAGGAATCATTCACGGCGCATACGCCAGACGTGCAACCTATCAAAAATGATCCCAATCCTGGGCGGAACAAGTATGCGAGCGGCTTACCTTGGCGATGGCGTTTGGCAAATATTGATTCTACCAGCAGATAATCGATGCTTCATGTCAGTGCCGGTTTGACTCGTGCTGCCAGAAGTGTACGGATAGTCGCGCATTAAGCAGAGCCCGGCCGTCGATACGTACAGTACGTCATGTCGGGGGGCCACCCGTCGGTGCACCCCGCGCTGCCACTCGCGGTGGAGCAGCTCGTCACTTGCTGCTCGGACAGGTCGACGAGCTCTCCCGTTACGATGCAGTGCGCCTGCTCCGCGGCACTCATGGCCCAGCACGACCCGCACTGGCCTTGATTGCGCACGGGGCAGACGCACTTGCCAGTGGTCCTGTCCAACGACGCCGCCTTGACGCTGCTCACGTTTAAACATCCCCTCCACGATCTGCTTG